GTAGGAAGAATCAAACGGAAAGGAAGTAGGGTGGACGACTGATTTGGTGCTGTGGTTTATACGCCTCTCTTTGTGCTTTACAAAGAGGGAAGAGGCCTGCTTGATTAACACTGGCCTTTTCCCATGACTGCTGAGGTTGTACTTGGGCGTATGCTTTTATTAACATAGATGAAGGATCCTTTGTTGTAGAATCAAGCACTCAGTAACATCTTCTGTATTTACAATTATTGGCCAACATAGAGTGTGAATTTTTAAGAAGTAAAAAACAAACCGGCATTTGTGGTTACAGATTCATATTTTACTAACAATTATAAACATGATAATTTGTATCATCAACTTTTCAGGAATACTTATACCTCTTTGAAATATCAGATAGTGCTCAATATTGTTAAGATGTTTAATCCTAGTTTAATCATATATATATATTAGACAATTAGTTTCTCCTTTCAGGTAAAGTAGCGATGCGAGTTAACAACTTGAAATACCAGCTATGTTTTGTTTAGTATGTAACCACTCTATCTAGTAAAAGAAAACATTCAATTTATATACAAACATATAAAAAGACAATGAAAACACAGTAAGGGAGTATCCCATCTCAGGGACCACAGAAGAGGGGTGCAGAAGATGGGATGAATTAGAACAAAGGAAAATGACACATGTGTATACAAAATGCCACAATGAAATCCATGCTAATTTAAATAATTTAGAAAGGAGAAAAGTCAAGAAGAGAAAGAAAGAGAAGGGAAATTATGTCTAAGAACAAGTTAGGCCCATGGGATTCATGGTGCAAGCTGGGCATACAATGAGGGTACAGATTTGCCTCTGAGTTTTCTATGAGGTTCCTTACATAAAACACTATGTTTCTAAGGGAGAGGCCAGTCAGTCTGTCAAGAGAAGAAAAAGTTTTGTTTCTAACCTGGAAGAGCCTTTCCTTCCTGTTCTCACACAGCAAACAGTGTGACACGGTGGATGTCTTAGTCCCCAGCACAGTTAGCACAGTGACTGGCTTTCTGGGCTGTTTAAAATATAATATCCTTTCTCATAGCATGAATAATGTGCTTGAGTGGAGACAGGCCAGGCTGGGCTCAGTGTAACCGTGGTGGGTACAGGCTGGCAGTGGAGAATGAAGGAAGCTGAGCAGTTTAACTGGATGTACGGAAAGCCCATTGTCAGCTTTCAAACACTCTCCCTAGACTTTCCTTTCTTGTGGCATAGATTCTGACGAGAATCAGTTGGAGGTTGTGCTCTCTAATTAAGAAACTGAAAAGGTGATCTCTCAGGTCACTGATTATTACACTCTTTCATTTTAGCAATTAATTGAATCGTGGGTTGAGATGGTATCTTTTTTATTTTTTTTAAGTCCTGTTTACTCCCTTCATAGAAAGTATTTTGCATCTTACCCAGGGTCCTCCTTCTTGATTAGCTTCTTTAGGTGTACAGATTTTAGTATGCTTATCCCACCTTATATGTCTAATATCCACTTATAAGTGAGTATTTATCATGTGCTTCTTTCTGCTTCTGGGATACCTCACTCAGGATGATCTTTTCTAGATCCCACCATTTGCCTGCAAATTTCATGATTTCCTTGTTTTTAATTGCTGAGTAGTATTCCATTGTGTAAATGTACCACAATTTCTGTATCCTTTCTTCAACTGAGAGACATCTAGGTTGTTTCCATGTTCTAGCTATTACAAATAAGGCTGCTACAAACATGGTTGAGCAAATGTCCTTGTTGTATACTTGAGCATCTTTTGGATATATGCCTAGGAATGGTATAGCTGGATGTTGACGTAGTACTATTCCTAATTGTCTGAGAAAGAGCCAGATTGATTTCCAAAGATGCTCGATCGTCATTCAGAAAGGCAAATGGGATATACATCAGAAGAGGGAGAAAACAGGGAACAGGACAGGAGCCTTCCACACAGGGCCTCTGAAGACTCTACCCAGCAGGGTTTCAAAGCAGATGCTGAGACTCATAGCCAAACTTTGGGCAGAGTGCAGGGAATTTTATGAAAGAAGTGGGAGATAGAAAGGCCTGGAGGGGACAGGAGCTCTACAAGGAGAAGAACAGAACCAAAGAATTTGGGCATAGGAGTCTTTTGTGAGACTGATACCCCAAACAGGGACCATTCATGGAGATAACCTAGAACCCTGTACAGATGTAGCCCATGGCAGCTCAGTGTCCAAGAGGATTCCCTAGTAATGGGGATAGGGACTGTCTATGACATGAACTCAGGGGCTGGCTCTTTGATCACCTCCACCTGAGGGGGGGCAGCCTTCCCATTCCACATAGGAAGACAATGAAGCCAGTTCTGATGAGACCTGGTAGAACAGAGTCAGATGGAAGGGGAGGAGGACCTCCTCTATCATTGGACTGGGGGAGGGGCATAGGAGAAGAGGCGGGGAAGGTGGAATAGAAAGGGGAGGAGAAAGGGGGCTATAGCTGGGATACAAAGGGAATAAACTGTAATTAATAAAAATAAAATAAAATTTAAATATATATATATAAATTAGCAATTAAAGAAAAAAGAAAGGATTTTGTAAAATAGTCTTTAGTTTTATAAACTTAAAAAAGATTTTCAAGATTTTTAGATGCTGTTCACATTAGGAGAGCCTCCTAAGATGCTCTCTCTCTGTCTCTGTCTCAGTGTGTGTGTGTGTGTGTGTATGGATGTGTGTGTGAGTGTGAAATTTAAGTGGGGATCCTTCTTTGGGTTTACAAGCCGCCTTCTAAGCAGTGCTACTTTATACTTTCTATCTTTCCAGCCACATTGCCATTTTCATTACATCTTCTATAGGGATTTGGCGATGTCATTGAAATACCTCTTGAAATTCAGGAAGTCTTTAGAAGTTATCTTCATCAACTAAGTACCGTCCATTATACTAATAAAATAGGGACCAGATAAGGTCTTTGCTTGTATCCTGCAATAACTGAAGAAGGAACACAGGAAGTAGTTAACCCCATGGTGTGTCTTCATATAGCTTTGGCGAGCTAAAATTCTGCTGTTGTGCTCTAGTTCTGAGGACAGCATATTGTATTTGCCTTACCCCTCCCTGCATACATCATTAGCATACATTCCCATGATCTATTCCAGGCATTCAGATCCTATCACTATGTCACTGCTGTACCCTTGCGGTTTACTGTTGTGCCCAGTTTGAGAGAAATGGTGTTTGGTTTCAATTGCAATGACTCTGTACTTGGAACATACTTCCTTCCATGAACTTCCTGGATGACCTTCAAAGCTCTACACTACTACTTTAGCAGAACAAAAGAACGGCATTCATGTGTTGTAATTAAAACAGGATTTTCCCTGTGACATGAGATTTTTAGGAATATCTGACACAGAATTTCTGAGGAGAGACTGGTAATTTTTGATAGAATTTTAAAAACTGTGTTTTAGACTGATTTTCATCATAAACCGAGCTAAGTACAAATTAATCTTTACTTGGTGACTGGCCTTAACTACTGTGACCTATAAAGAATGATATTTTACATTTCTTGTATAACTTTATAATTTATGAAATACATTCATAGACATTATCTCATCTGAACCACCCTGTCGTCCACACCCTCCGTTCACATTCTAATCAGATGAGGACACTGTTTAATCTAGTGTCTTGGAGCTGGGTGTCAGGTATGGCTGTGAGAACTCCACCTTGTGAGGAAGTCACGTGGCCCTGGTGAAAGCTGTTTCTATCCTAGGAGGCTCTCTGACTCAATGCTGGACCTTTGGCACCATGTAAAATGAGCAATACAGCTGGAAGAGTTGACCACACATGAGGAGATAGCGGACTTCTTATAAAAATTATAAATATTCCCTCCGAAGAGCTGCCAAGGAGCCTACATTAGGCTTAAAGCAAAATGAAATCATTAATTGTTTAATACTGGATTGTATTAATACCATTTTTTAAAAACTGTGTTTGATTTATAAAACAGCTTGAGAAATGTGCCAAATGTTTTGTTGAATGGGATTGAGGTGGCAAACATGGTGTTGTTGTTTTTTTGTTTGTTTGTTTGTTTTGTTTTGTTTTGTTTTTTGGGGGGGAACAGAAGAGCAATTTCTCAAAATATTTTACTATATGAGTAACATTAATGGTAAATTTAAATGATTGTTTAAGAGAATCCCTCAGCGGCATATGTAATCTTCTGTGTGGCATTTCAAAAACATCTAGGTTTATAACTTCAAGTTGTTCATCTCTGGCAGGATTGTGAGCGCTATTAGTGCTTAGAATTAGTGTTCTTAGTGGCCTAGAATTTAAAATGTTATACACATTGGGTTTTACTCTTGGATGTCATACGAATGTCCTATACAGATGGAACCAGGGAGCTGAGGACAGGAGTGTGCACGAATTAATGTTGAGGTTTGACAACATATGGCCTTTGAGCTTCCAAAAATGTTTTTGAGTGCAAAACTACGTAAATAAATATGTTAGTGCATAAAAGGCCTTCAGTGCCTAATGAACAACACTGAAGGTCTTTCCACTGGTAAGTATGCATGGGGAAGATTTTTTTTTTCTTCTTCTTCTTCCTGAAAATACCTGCACTTTTTAAATAGTCCATCCAATTTGGGTCACCAGCGAAGGAGAAAAATCAACAGAGCATGGTGGGGAGCCACCTACAATAGCTAAGAATATTCTACATCTTAAAATACACGCCCTTTATGACCGTGGCCTCTGCAGCTCTTCGTGACGTCTTTCCAGCCGCTCCCGCTCCAGTCAAACACAGCAGTTTGTCTAGTTTGCTTCTCACAGGATTCAGTCTTTGCACACTGTAGCTAATTTCTTACGGGTGGGGACTCCACACTCATGTTTTTCCTTCTCTCTTTCTTGCCAGTCCTTTTTACCTTTCTTCCAAGATATCTGGCTCTATTTGTGTTAATATTTTCTCCCTCCATCCCTAATAGAAGGCGTCTGCTTTAAGCCAGGCTTTGTCCTGTTACCCTGTGATGAATAGTAAATGTAGCACAGTTTGTGTAGACTTGAAACTTGCTGTTCCACAGGCTGACAGAGAGTCACCTAGAAATTGTCTGGTGGGGAAAAGGAGCAGAGAGCCGATGTGGGCTGGAGGTATTGCCAGTCAGTCTAGAGCCCTGTCACCTGGACCAGGTACAGCAGTGGGAAGGGGAATCCAGAAAGCCAGGCCATGCAGGGACTATGAACCATTGTCCAGAGTTTAGGCTGTAGGGATTTTTCTACATCCCAATTTAAAGTCTTCGGAGAATTTCCTAGGTTGTTGTTTTTTTTTTCCATCAGATTTAATTACTATGGGTGACAAGATGTATCTGGAATCCAGTGTGGCTACAGTTATATTTCAGAAATGCATTCATGAATTCCTCCAGTAAATGTTAGCAAGTATCACCAGTGACTCAGGGGAACACAGTTAAAACAGCTTTCCCTACAATTACCCCTTCCAAATCCTTCTGCCTCTACCATCTACATGCTGGGATTTCAGGTCTGCATGACTGTCCCCAGTTTGCTTTTCTGTTTCTGTGAATATAAGCATTAATTGCATAGTTACACAATTTCAAGATTTATGAATAACCTTAGGTTATAACTTATTCGTATTTTTGTTTCTTCTCATTTTTTCTTCATTTAAAAAAAATATGTGTGGATGATATAGTTTGAGCCAACCACTCTGTGGGGCATGTGGGCTACATAGTGAACAAAGCAGAATGAAAGGAACTCCTGGCTAATGAGAGACAGGAAAGGTCAGTGGTAAGAAGTAGGGCCAAGACTATCAATAAGCAATGAGCATGATGATATGGAATAATGAAAGCGAACAGGGGAACGGGGAAAGAGACACTGGCTGCCGAGTGGGAGAGCAGGTCTGTAGCTAGAACATGCTGCCTTGAGAGGTCACACGCCAGCACTTAAAGGAAAAGAGTTCAATATGGGGAAGAGTCCAAGTACAGAGCTCGTAGCAGGGCCTTAGTGAGAGATGGGGCCGACTGGTGGTGTTCAAGGATTGGCAGGGAGTCTTTGAGGTGGGAGGGGAGCCCTTAGGGCAGAGTAAGAAGGTAGGGCCTGTTTCAAGAAACAGTTGTGAAGGTAGAAGGGCCAAGATCAAAGAAGAAAACTGAAGGAGCCACGGGTATCAGTTTGAGTGAGAAGAACAGATGTGTCCGCTCCACTATGTTTCCTGTGCCTCTAGCATGCCACTTCTCCCATCTTTTGAAGATTACCATAAACCTCTAAATTCTGCATCCCCTGAAATGGTTAATTTTGCTTGCCAACTTGATTGGATTGACAGATGTCCAGGAGATTGGTGATGAAGAACAAATACCTCTGGGTGCCAGTGAGGGCATTTTCAGAGGCAAGTTGGATCATGTGGGCTTTAACATGGGGAAGGTCTTAACCCATTGGTGAGTTTTAAAGTCTGGATAGACCGCTGGCAGATGGCAGAACTTTGGAAGGTGGAATCTCCTGGGAGAAAGAAGGTAGCAGGGCCTGTCCTTGGAGGCTGTACTGTGTCCTACCCCTCTTGCACTGCCCTTCTTCTCTTCCATGAGGCCAAGAACCTCCTTCACCATACACTCCCACCACCACGACGTTCTACCTAAGCACACAAGGATAGCAGTTATGGGCTGACACCTCTAAAACTATCAGTCAGGAAAAATATTCCCCCCTTACAGTTTTCCTTGGGGCATTTTGGTTAGAGCACACAGTTATAACTCTAACCTACTCCTTCATTTCTAGAGTTCATTCATAGAGTAGTTCATTACAAAAATTGAACACAAAGCTTGTGCCAATTGTCGTGCCAGGGCTTAAGGCTTAAAAGACTAATTAAAATGTCTGCCTTGGGAGCTGATGAACTTGCAGTGGAGAAAGAATAATAAATAGTCACACACATGTAAGTACAACCCTGATAACTTGTAATATGAGCCATAAGAGAGAGAAACAGCAGAAGCGACATTGCTACGAGTCAGAATGATTGGCTTAGATGGAGCATTTCTGTGGGGTGAAGGTATGAGAAAATCACTTTGAATGAGGAAACTTTTTTTTTTTTATGAAACATAGAGAAAATAAAATGGCAATGAGCGTGTGTCAAGTGGGCTTTCTAAGTATAACAGTAACAGCATTTCCCCTGTGGCTGAAGCCGCGGGAATGTGCTAAGAGTGATTCCTTGAGCGGAGTAGACCGAGCCATATGAAACATGACCCTGGGGCTGTTGAGTGTCATGCTAAGTGCAAAGGGGAGCAATGGAAATGTAAGTAAAGCGGTGACATTATCCATTTGAGGTGGCCACTTTCAGCTGCTCATCACATTCTGTCCCTGCCTCCCCAGCACAGAGCTAGGTTCCGTCTTCTTCACACTTGTCTGTGATTTATGTAACTTTCTCCTGCCCGTGGAAGTAAGGAAACAGTGAATGCTGTGACTAGGGCAGGCTCCTCACAGCCTCCCATGTGGGATGCCTCAGGGTTTTCCCGTGCTCTTTGGACAGACTTGTGGAGTGTCAGAGCCATTGCCAATCCAGACCCTAGTGTCACTTTGTGGGGCACACAGCTCTTCTGGAAGGCATGAACCACCGCAAGGAAAACCTGGTCCCCCTTTTGGGCATTTTTTATGGTCAGACCATTTGTTAGTACATCATCATTTGTCCACAAGAACATAATTATTTCAGAAAGTAGATTTTTTTTCCTACTATGATATGTGAAATTGAGATGCTATAAATAACAGTGGCCAAATTGAAGGTTTATAGTGATGTGTGCCAAGATGATCTCCACACAAGCAGATATTAGTTAATTTGGATGAAAAAGTTATTAGTCTCTGATGTTACCTGGAGAAACAATCTCACGGCAAGCTCCCTGATCTTCTGGCTCTTTGCGTCTTTCTGCCTCCTCTTCCATGGACAGGTGCAGGTGTATTTTGAGGATGTGTCCATTGAGGCTGGGCTCCACCAGTATGCATTTTGATTGGCTGTGGCTGTGTGTAATTGTTTCAGTCTATTTCCAGAGAAGTTTTCTTGATGAGAGATGAGGACCACGTGTAAATACATATAGATACATGCATGTAACAACAAGAAATGAAAAATAAAGGGGGCATATGATGTGAGTGGGTTTGTAGGGAGGAAAGGGAAAGGGAAATGATGAAATTATATCGTGATCACAAAAATCAAAGAAACTTAAAAAAGTTAGCCCTCAATGGTATGTTGTTGTGTACAGTGAGATTATGAAAGGGATGGTGTGCTAATTTGGTTTTATGTTCATCAGCCATGTCGTTGGACTGTCTGTGACAAACTTCATTGAATCCCTTTAGGCCTGTAGGTTTTGTTTTTCTAGATTGAATCAACTAGTAGGTAGATGAGCCGTGTGTCTGGCAATTTATTTTTGGTGTTTTTTTTTTTTTTAACAGTTTTTAGGATAATGTTTCTGTTAAATTTTGTTTAAATTAATGGAAGTTCAGACTTGCCATTTCCTGCCCATCCATATTAGAGGTCCTGTGTGCTAGCATTTGCTCTCTATTGTGCTGCTATAGCAAATCCCTAAGGCCCCAGTCTTTATAAAGGGGAGGGGTTTATTTAGCTCATGGTTCTGGTGGCTAGAATCCAGTCCAAACAGCAGGATCCTTGTGTTTAGCAAGGCCCCCTGTATGTTACCCCAGTGCGGAGAAGCAGGAGGGGGAACAGCTAAGGGCAGAAGGTACCAAGCATGTCGTGCCTCACTTGGTAATACACTGCTCTAAACTAACCTGTTTCTTTGAGGACTGCACTGATCTCTACTGATGGTGGTGTAGTCAGCCAAGCTGGCTTCTGATGGGCATTACCTACTAAATCCAACAGCTGTCAGTATTGTTACATGTGATCAAACTTCTGGCACAAGGGTCTAAGAGAACACATTCAGACCATAGCTAAGCCTCAGTTCCTTGTCACTGATACTGTCCCAACCTCACTCAAACACACTTTGTGTTCTAAGGGAGATGCTCAGTTTGAGGTTTGTGTTTCCTGCGCTCTACTGGGGGAAGGTAGTATCGTAGCACCTGACATTCAAATGTTTACTTTCTTTTTTTTTAAATTTTTTTTTTACTATTAATTACACTTTATTCATTTTGTATTCCCCATCAGCCCCTTCCTCCTCCCCTCCCAATCCCTCTTCCTCATACATGCCCCTTCCCAAGTCCACTGATAGGGGAGGTCCTCTTCTCCTTCCTTCTGATCTTAGTCTATCAGATCATCTCAGGAGTGGCTGCATTGTCATCTTCTATGGCCTGGTAAGGCTGCTCCCCCCTCAGGGAGAGGTGATCAAAGAGCAGGCCAATCAGATTATGTCAGAGGCAGTCCCTCTTCCCTTTACTATGTAACCCACTTGGACACTGAACTATCATGTGCTACATCTGTGCAAGGGTTCTAGGTTATCTCCATGAATAGTCCTTGGTTGGAGTATGAGTCTCTGGGAAGTTCCCTGTGTTCAAGTTTTCTGGTTCTGTTGCTCTCCTTGTGTGGTTCCGTTCTCTCCAGCTCTTACTATTTCCCACTTCTTACATAAGATTCCATGCACTCTGCCCAACAGTTGGCCATAAGTCTCAGCATCTGCTTTAATTGTCTGTAGGGCAGAGGCTTTCAGAGGCCCTCTGTGGCAGGTTCCTAGGTTGTTTCCTGTTTTCTTCATCTTCTGATGTCCAGTGTCTTTGCCTTTCAGGATGGGGATTGAGCATTTTAGTCAGGGTGCTCTCTCTTGCTTAGTTTCTTTAGATGTACAGATGTTAGTAGGTGTATATACCATGTTATGTATATATGAGTGAGTATATACTGTGTGTGTCTTTCTGCTTCTGGGACAGCTCACTCAGGATGATCCTTTCTAGGTCCCACCATTTACCTACAAATTTCATGATTTCCTTATTTTTCATTGCTGAGTAATACTCCATTGTATAGATGTACCACAATTTCTGCATCCATTCTTCAGTTGAGGGGCATTTGGGCTGTTTCCAGCTTCTGGCTATTACAAATAAAGCTGCTACAAACATGGTTAAGCAAATGTACTTATTGTGTACTTGAGCCTCTTTTGGATATATGCCTAGGAGTGGTATGGCTGGGTCTTGAGGAAGCGCTATTCCTAGTTGTCTGAGAAAGCGCCAGATTGCTTTCCAGAGTGATTGTACAAGTTTACATTCCCACCAGCAGTGGAGTAGGTTTCCCCTTTCTCCACAACCTCTCCAGCATGTGTTGTTACTTGAGTTTTTCATCTTGGCCATTCTGATGGGTGTAAGGTGAAATCTCTGGGTCATTTTGATTTGCATTTCCCTAATGGCTAATGAGCATTTCTTTAAGTGTTTCTCTGCCATTTGATATTCCTCTACAGAGAATTCTCTGTTTAGCTCTGTTCCCCATTTTTTAATTGGATTACTTGGTTTGCTGCTTTTCAGCTTCTTTAGTTCTTTATATATACTGGATATTAGTCCTTCATCAGATAGAGGGTTGGTGAAGATACTTTTCCAATATGTAGGCAGTTGTTTTGTTTTGATGACAGTATCCTTTGATTTACAGAAGCATTTCATGAAGCTGAAATGTTTACTTTCAATACAGAGAGAAATGTTTTCAGAAAGCACATGGGCTAATTCCTACCATTGCCTGCCTTCTTCCTTTCAAGTGGCAGTTCTCAGAATCTTGACCTGCTTCCTTCAGCCACAGAGTTATCCGGGTGAATCATTAGGATCTGTGAAGAGTCTCAAGCGAGATAATTCCTGTAATTTTAACAAACTACAGAATGGACAGTGAAGGTAGAATGCTGATGGTGCTAAGAATAAATGACGTGAGTGCCCAGTGCTAAGTAGGATATTTGCACTCCCCCTTCTCAGACCCAGGAGTCATCATGGGAGAAAACAGAGAGAAGGGATGTAGAATGCTCTCTGGGAGGCATATGCAGCCAATTGGTAGCAGCTATGGCTAGTTGCAGTGGCCCTGCACAAGACTGAGCCTTGTTGACATTGAACCTGTGACTGTGAAGGCCTCCATCATCCCTACCCTTCCCTTCTCAAGTATTGGTTACTGGTGGGTCCTTGGAGCAGTACAATCTTTTTTATCTATTATGTATCCACTGAGGAACCCAATAGTTTTCTGTGGAGACACAAATGCTCCTGGTTACACTCAGTGGGTTTCAAAAGAAAGAAAAGAAAAAGAAAAAGGGAAAGAGACACAAGAATGTGGGACTTTTATTTGGGGGGGCTGTATATGTAGGAGGAAGACTAGAGAATGTAAGATTTTTGTTGCTTATTATTTTGAGACAAGGTCTCTCTATGTAGCTCTGACTTACTATGTAGACCAGTCTGGTCTCAAACTCACAAGTCCATTTGCCTCTGTATCCCCAGTGCTGGACTAAAGCCATCTGCTACCATGCCCAGCTAGGTGAGGAGTTTCATAATCAGAATGTACTTTGTACATGTCTGAAATTGTCAAAAATGTAAACAAAAAAGTTATAAAAATCTACAAAACTTGGTGGCTTAATGGTTTCGAGGCAAATCAAAGACTAAGATGATCAATGGAACTTCAAGTCATAAACATACTTGTGTGTAGATATGTGTGTTTGTGTATGTATACACATATGCATATACATGTATCAGTGAAATCAGTTAACGTGTAAGATTAAGCTAGTTAGCAACTTTCTGCTACCTGTAAATGCAGTTAATGACAAGCTGGGCCTTTTAGACACAGACATATGTTGGTTCTCCAGGCTAACAAATATTACAAGTATGGGACTCCCACCAAAGCTAGTTAAAGATAAAGATGGGATGGGATAGAACCCACATCTGTCATACAGTAATGACCGTGTGAGAGATTGAAATGAGTTGCCCAAGTAATATAGCATATCTCATAACAGATCCACAGTCGTTGTTATGGGAAATCAGGGGATTTTTTTGTTTGTTTTGTTTTTTAATTCCTGTGTCATATTAGATTCTCTTGCTGAGAAAACATCAAGTAGAATATACCCTTTGTGTACTCTGGCAAAGGGGTTAGTGTCACATAATTTTATTTTTATGCTGCTTAAACTTCATGTTTTCTACCCAATATGCATTTTTCATTCATGCCATATAATGTTTTTTAAAAGGTGTTGGTGTGTGTGCTTACATGTATATATATATGTACAATGTATGTGCACACGTGTTCCTGAAGACCAGAAGAAGGCATTTGATGCCCTGGAACTGGAGTTACAAGGGCTTGTGCACCACCATGTAGGGGCTGAGAACAAGGCTGGGCACTCTAAAGAAGATCAGCAAATGCCCTTAACTGCTGAGCTATCTCTCCAGCCCCCATATGAATTTGTTTTATGTTATATGTGGATTACAGACATATAAGAATGACTAGTATGATTTAATTGTTTTAAATCTATAATCAGAGGGAAAAGATCACTTTCATCATTTACGTTCTTACCATTTAAAAGGATGTACTTGTGAATTGAATATGATATATTTTTTAAATGAACACATTTTATGCTTTTTTTAGGCTGGAATGATAAAAAGTGATAATGAAGAGTATTTTATTGAACCCTTGGAGAGAGGTAAGCAGATGGATGAAGAAAAAGGAAGGATTCACGTTGTCTACAAGAGATCAGCCATGGAGAAGGCTCCCAGAGGTGTGTCTGAAGACTTCTACCACAGGGGTAGGCACTTTGAAAAGTCTTAATAACTATAGACTTAAGGAATGATGACAACAGCCCTTACATAGTCAAGAGACCTTGACTGGCACTCTGTCTTAGGAGGTGTGGAAGTTATATGTTGGAGGTATTTTATACCAGAGAGTTACCACATGTTAGTCAGTGTGCTTTTTGTGATTTACTTTAAAAGTGGTACACTAAGCCTGTGTTCTTTCAGCCTGTCTCAAAGTTTGTAAATCTTATTTTTTTCAAGAATATTTAAATTATGCACTATTTGTTTTGTCATTGTAAAACTTCATAAGTGAGATGTATTAACAAAACAAAGTTATGTTTTAAAGCCAAACTGGTAGCTGCTTGACTTTAAAGTCTATTTGGTTCAAGATAGATAAGTAGAGCTAGATAGATAGATAGATAGATAGATAGATAGATAGATAGATAGATAGATAGAT